ACAAGTTTTGAAAAAAAAAAATTGAAAAAATTTGTTTAGTTTGATTACTTTTAAAAACTTATTTGTAGAAAATTTTTCCTAAAATTTTTTGAGAAACTCTCTCTCTCTCTCTCGTATTTTAAAAAAAAAATGTAGGCTTGGTTGGGTTTGTTTATAATTTTTAAGAAAGAATTTTAAAAATTTGTTAGTTAAAAATTTTTGAGAAAAAATTTAAAATCATATTTTTTTTATATTACATATCAATCAATCATTTTTTTTTCTTTCTTAATTCTCTCACATCCTAGAGATCAATCAATTACTTTTTTCTCATAACAATTTATTCAACTAAAATAAATAAATTAAATCATTTCAAACTCTAAAATTATTTTTAAAATATACAACCAAATAATATTTTAAATTTTATAAACTCTATCTATAAATTATTTTTTTAAATTGTTTCATAAATACAGACTAAATATTATTTTGAGATAGTTTGAGATACCAATGATTGAGATTGAGATTGAGATTGAGATTAAGATTGAGATTGAGATACCAACTATCTACATTGAGAGTGTTTTGCTAAGGATTGATTGGGAAGATGAAAAAATAGTTAAAAGGTCAACAAATTATTTAAAATATTTAAAATTTTATATTAAAATAATGAATAATTTCTTCTTTTTTTCTTGCATGTTTTTTATTAAAAAACTAAAAATTATTTTAAAACATTTTAAATATTTTTATCTCATATTTTAATTAAAAAAGTCACTTAAAAAAATTACTTCTTTCAGTGTCGTATAGAATTTAAAGCATCTTTATATTACATCATTGAAATGAAGATCTCAATGTCAATGCATAAGATTGTACTACATCATTTAAAAATCAAAAATCAATGGTCTGTAGTTATTAAGTGAATTTTAATTTTCAAATTTGTCTTAAATATTTAGAATTTGAAATAAATTTTATTGATGTGAATGAATAATCTTCATTTCAAACAGAATCCACCGTGCTCAAAAATGTTTTGAAAAATTATTTTGAGAGAGAATTTTGAAAAAAGTGATTGATTTGATGTGTATGATAGAGAGATTTGTTTGAAAAACTTGTAAACCAAACAAGTTTTGAAAAAAAAATTTGAAAAAATTTGTTTAATTTGATTACTTTTAAAAACTTATTTGTAGAGAATTTTTCCTAAAATTTTTTGAGAAACTCTCTCTCCCTCTCTCATTTTAAAAAAAGGGCAAATTACATATACACCCCTCCAGATTTGGCAAAATTACAGATACCCCCTGAGGTTTGAGAAATTACGAATTCCCCCCTGAATGCTATATTTGCATAAGAAATTAGGGGGTAATTTGTTATGAAATATAAACCTCAGGGGGTAAATTGTTATGAAAATACAAACCTCAGGGGGCGGGATGTAATTTCCGAAACCTCAGGGGTATCTGTAATTTAACCAAACCTGGAGGGGTGTATATGTAATTTGCCCTTAAAAAAAAATGTAGGCTTGGTTGGGTTTGTTTATAATTTTTAAGAAAGAATTTTAAAAATTTGTTAGTTAAAAATTTTTGAGAAAAAAATTTAAAATCATATTTTTTTATATTACATATCAATCAATCATTTTTTTTTCTTTCTTAATTCTCTCACATCCTAGAGATCAATCAATTACTTTTTTCTCATAACAATTTATTCAACTAAAATACATAAATTAAATCATTTCAAACTCTAAAATTATTTTTAAAATATACAACCAAATAATATTTTAAATTTTATAAACTCTATCTATAAATTATTTTTTTTAATTGTTTCATAAATACAGACTAAATATTATTTTGAGATAGTTTGAGATACCAATGATTGAGATTGAGATTGAGATTAAGATTGAGATTGAGATACCAACTATCTACATTGAGAGTGTTTTGCTAAGGATTGATTGGGAAGATGAAAAAATAGTTAAAAGGTCAACAAATTATTTAAAATATTTAAAATTTTATATTAAAATAATGAATAATTTCTTCTTTTTTTCTTGCATGTTTTTTATTAAAAAACTAAAAATTATTTTAAAACATTTTAAATATTTTTATCTCATATTTTAATTAAAAAAGTCACTTAAAAAAATTACTTCTTTCAGTGTCGTATAGAATTTAAAGCATCTTTATATTACATCATTGAAATGAAGATCTCAATGTCAATGCATAAGATTGTACTACATCATTTAAAAATCAAAAATCAATGGTCTGTAGTTATTAAGTGAATTTTAATTTTCAAATTTGTCTTAAATATTTAGAATTTGAAATAAATTTTATTGATGTGAATGAATAATCTTCATTTCAAACAGAATCCACCGTGCTCAAAACTCTATACTCAAATCATAACCAACACATAACAAAGAAATAAAATATTTAGAATTATATGTATAAAATAAAATAAAATATTTAAATAAAAAATAAACATTTAAAATAAAAAATAATATTTTAAAATTTTTTTAATGTTAAAAAAAATACAACACATAAATGTATGAAATATAGCGCACATTAAAATAAATAAATACTTAAAATATAAAATATTTACTCTAACAAATAAAATTAATAAAAATTTTAAATATTTAAAAATAATAAATTCAAAAAATTTCAAAATACAATTTAAAATTCTTTTCAAAACTCATAACTAAACAAATTTTATTTTATCATAACTCAATTCAAAACTCATAACTTAAAAGACGACTCCACACTCAAATCATGATTCTAAAAATAATTTTATAAATAAAATAAAAAATATTTTTTGAGTTTTTTTTTAAAATAGAGTTTTGAAAAGAGTTTAGTTTTGAGTTTTGAAAAAAAAATTAAATTAAATTTTAAACAATTTTAAATTATGTATTTAATTATAAATTTTAAAAAAATGATTTGAAAATTCTGCCAAGCACCGCCATAATTTTTAATAGATCCCACAGAGCACTGATATTTTTCCTTGGACAGAATTATTGAGAAGGGATGACATTATTAAATGCACATGCAGGCATTATATGTTAGATGACTGTAGCACTGATATATTTTAGGGTAAATTATCAATACACTCTTTAAGTTTTCTAAATTATAAATTATTTTTTTATAGTTTTAGAAATTATATTATGCTCTTAATTTTTCTAATTTCATAACTTATGCTCTTAAGGTTTCTAATTTCATAACAAATAGGTCCTTTTATTAATAAATTATCAATTTAATTAATAATTTTTAATAATATTAAAATTTTATTTCAATTAATAATTTAGAGAATTTTATTATTGTATAGGTAAGCAGTTAGAAATTTCACTTTTTCAATTAATTCTATTAAATAAAAAATTCTGACAATAAATATTTATAATTTTTCAAATTATAAGAGACAATTCGTATTTAAACAAACCTCATAGAATGTATTTGAAATTTACCCTTTTTCCTTGGACAGAATTATAGAGAGGGGATGACATTATTAAATGCATACAGAAAAATTAATTGAAAAATAGATTATTTATTGAAAAAATAGTGAAATATCTCTCTTAAATTTTGTGTAGTATAAGAGGTATAAGATATATTTTTTATTAGTTAAGACCCTTCAATATTTTTACAGAGAAAATTTGACTAAGAGAAATTTTATCTGACTCAGAGAAATTTCACCCGACTCTAGAGAAATTTCAAAATTTTTCTAGTATGATCGCAAAGAAATACCAAATAAATTTCAAAAATTTCTCTGTAAAAATTAAAAATTTTCAAAGTCCCGAAATGCTTCTAAATCAAATTTTCTCTATACAGATATTGAGGGACCTTAATTATTATAAAAATATTATATATTTTTTATCTTATAAAATCTTAATACCAATAATCTTAAATTTGTATATTTTAAAATGTTTTAGGGAGTCAAGTGTCCAGGGCCACGTTGCCCACGCGGAGCTTGATTCTAGCCTTTTCTTGAAAAGAAAAAAACAAAAAAAAAGAAAAAGAAGACTTCGTACTTTGCATTTTTATTTTATTTTTTTAGGAACATTTTAAAATAATTGGAAAATGTCAAAAAAATAATAATATATGCGTACAAAAATAGTATAATTTGACTCATATTTTTTAAAAATATGTAAAATATATTTGACAAATTAAAACTTGAAAAATCACAATGACACAATATATATTTAAGTAAATTACACTATTAATCTTTATGGTTTAGATGAAGCGTTACTTTAGTCCTTATAGTTTTAATTTGAACAATTTGACTCATCTATTTTCTAATTTGTTGTAATGCGATCCCTTCATCAATGTTAAAATTTCAAACGGGAAAAACCTACTTGCAAAATTGGAGTGCCAAAATGCAATTTTGAACATAATTTTTTTAGTTCAAATGTTAACAATGAATGACAGAATAATCATATTAAAACAAAATTAAAAATACAAAATTCAAATTATTTAAATTAAAATTATAAAAACTAAAACAAAACTTCGCTCAAACCAAGACTAGTGATGTAGCTTACCTTACATATTTTAAGGACCTGCTAGTGTAGTTTATCCAAACTCAAAATTTGTATTGAAAAATCAGATAAAACTTTTCTTTCCATCCTCAGGTCTGTCACAATGTACAGGTGGCTGTTTGTGAGGTGTGAAACTGGGAAGCTGAATGCAGCATTGCAGCTGTTCAGAGGCCTAGTTTTTTATTTTTTCTTCTCTGTCTCTTGGTTTTTCTGGGTTGGTTTCTCGTTAATCTTGGGTCAAGTACTAGTAGATGATATTGCTTCCTTAACAGTGTCAACCTAGTTGAAATTGTTAAGATTAGTAGTGATACTTTTTGCACTTCCCTCTTTGTTGAGGTAAGTTTTATACTTGTATTGTTTTTTTCAACAATAACATTCTTTTTGCTTATCAAAAAAAAGTCTGTCACAATCTATGGTGGTGGTTGCGTTCTATTAGAAACGACATTTATGTGGTTTATTTATTTTATTTTCTTTCTATATTCATATTTACCAAACTAACCTAACTAATATCCCTATAAATACACAAATATCAACCTTGCTCTGGGTAGCTCAAACTCAGTAGTTCTTGAGAACACTTTCTTGCAACAGTGAGTGTGAAGAAGAAAACTATGTGGACAGTTGGGTTGTGTGTTGTAGCACTGGTTACAATATTCATAACTCACTGGATTTATAAGTGGAAGAACCCTAAGTCCAATGGAGTCTTGCCGCCCGGTTCAATGGGACTCCCTTTCATTGGTGAGACCCTTCAACTTCTTATGCCCAACAAATCATTAGATCTCCATCCTTTCATCAAGAACAGAATTCAAAGGTAATATATTATATGTAAGCTAGCTCTTATTTTGCTTTTGCTTTTGATTTTGATTTTGATTTTTCTTTTTTCTTTTTTTTTAAAAAAAATTAGAAAATACTTTATTCTTTTTGAAATTTTCATATAGAACCGTTCATCAGAATGGATGAATGATTTTACACAATATTACACATCTAAAAAAATTATTTAAAAAATTATCTAGGAAAAAAATCAATGGTCAACATTTATTGTGGCTCAAATTTCAATGATTTTAAATTTACATCCCCACACTGCTTTTTATACGAAAAAACATTTCAATTATTTTTTTGGTTTTGTTTTGAAGTGTAAGCTCATGAATTTGTCATATCTTATGTGTATATATATATATATTTTATATGTGCTTTTTATTTGTAAATCAGTAGTGTTTGTGTTTGTGTTTTGTCTTTGCTAGTTACGCATTCCTTTGTTTGTTGTGCTGCTTTGCTTCTTTCAAAAAGAAATCTTTTTTAGTTTTATTTCTTTGAATTTTTTATTCCTATAATCTTTCTTTACATGAAAATTTATTGTCAAAATTTAAATTTTAAAAATAATATTTTTTTACTTTTTAATAATTAATATTTTTTTCAAATAAAGGTAACTATAATTAAGAAGTTGAAGTCAGAATACAAAAACTATTTTTTCACCTTTATAGCTATTTAAATTATTTTTACTCACTATGGCACACATTTTTAAATTAAAAAACTATAAACAACTTTGTGGATTGCACCAAAATAACCTAGAAAGATGTTAAGTTTTAATAATTAATTTATCTAAACATTTGAACTCTTGAAGGTGCAACTCATTTATTTGTGTGGTTCATGTATCACATATAAGTTAGAAAAATGATTTGTAAACACAGTTTTTTTTTTTTTTTAAATATTATATGAAATTTTATTAGCATGTTTGATAATAACATTTTTTGAATATAAAATTATTTTAATGAGTCTTTAAGTTGAAATAGATAGTTAATGATTACTGAGAACACATAGAACAATACTCTCTAAAATTTTCTATAGAAACCATAATGTTGTGTTTGGTTGGGGGATTTGGAGAAGGATTTGGAAAGGAAAAGGAAAAAAGAGTGTGAAATTAAGTGAAATGTAGGTATATTTTATTCACATTTCACCTAACTTTGCTCTTTTCCTTTCCAAATTTCTCCTCAAATTCTCCAACCAAACACAACGTAAAAGTATGTTTCTAATTTAGAACTCCATGTTGATTCCGATTATAATTTTTAACAAATGCCAACAAGTACTTGAAGGTGTTGTTTAATACTAAAATTTGTAAAATATATCAGATTTAAATTAATTAAATTTAAAAAAAATCAACAAAATGTATTTTAGAATTAATTAAAAAGGTTTTGTTATTTATTTATATATTTTTGTATCCTCCGGACATTTATTTTATATTTTAGGGTTAATTCAAAATGTATTTTTGTATCCTCCGAACATTTATTATCAAGACTATTTATTTGATATTAATGCATCATTTATGATAAGGTACAACAAAAAATTGAGAAGAACTGGAGGGGGTATCATTTCAAATGCCTTCGTTTGGGAAGATAGGTTGATTTTTTAGCTTTTTAATTATTTTTAGTTTAAACTAAAAAACCGTTTAGTTTTTTTTTTTTACTTTTGCAAGAGAAAAAGTGAAATGATTATAATTTGAATGTGATATTTTATTTAATCTGTTATATCTTTTTATGGCTAATTTAAAACTCGTTTGGAAACATACTAGTTAAGTAACTTTTTTAATTTTTACGAAATGTAAAAAAATAAAAAGAATAATATGACAACTTATAATAATTTTTTGAATAAATTGAAGGTTATTAAACAAGGTCAGTCAAAAAGCCAAAAAAGGCTCATTTGCCAAAAAAAAAAAAAAAAAGCTTTTGTGGAGTACTGATAAGGGCCCATGAATCATTCTAAAAATTTTGGATAAATTATAAATTCATCTATTGAAATTTATTTAAAATACGAATTATTTTATGTAATTTTTAAAAAAATTATAAATATTTTATTGTCATAATTTTTTATTTAACAAAATTAACTAAAAAAATAAAATTCATAACTACTCTCTTATATAATAATAAAATTATTTGGATTATTAATTAAAATATATTTTTGACATCATTAAAAATTATTTATTAGCTTAACCATTTATTAATAAAATAAGACTATTTGTTATGAAATTAGAAATTTTGAAGAGCTGAATATAATTTTTAAAACTAAAGGAGGTAATTTGTATTTAAAACGAATCTCAAGAGGTGTATTTGTAATTTATCCTAAAATTTTACAGTGTAGAATTAAATTTTAAAATGTAGAATTAAAATTTCAAAATAAATTATAAATTTATCTGGTGTAACTTTTAATAATATGTGAAAAAATTAAATATATTAGGGGAGTTTATGTCCCTAACACCTTTTAAAAATTATAATTCTAACAAAAGAAATTTGATTTTTATATCGAGATATATTTAAGAGTTTTACATATTATAATTTTAAAAAAATAAATAATTTTTTTTGTCTAAATAATTAAAAAACTCAAATAAATTATAATTTAAAATTATAATCAAATACCATTAATTAAATTTTTTTTAAGTAAATAAATAAGTATTATTAAACATGGCCAATGGGTTTATACAAATGGTGGTGAAAAGAGATGATTAGGGTCTTACCAACAAATTATTCTTTAGGCATAAGAAAATGATAAATAAAAAAATAAAAAAATAAATGAGTAAATCTCGTGACACTTTACTGAATTTAAAACACTTTTTAATAATTTTTTAACACTTTCTAACTTTCTTTTAAAAAAGATTAATTTTTCAAACTTTTGTTTACATTTATCTTGTATGCGAAAAAAATTATTTTCAAATTTCTATGTCCAAAACTGCAAAAGACAGACAGAAGTGTCTCATGTTACCGAGACTAGATCTGGATGTGTCGTTTTGTGTATAAATAATTAGACATTTCATTAGCTTCATTTGATATTATCTATTGTAGTTAATTTTTTTGTATTGAGATTTTTTTAATTTATTTTTTTAGTTTCGTTTAGTTTTTATTTTTGGATTTTTTTTATTTTTATGAAAAAAAAAAGTGTAATGATTATGATTTGAATGTGATAATTTATCCTATTTATTTATAAAACTTATTTTATATTTTTATGTTTTTTTAAGCTCAAAATATTTGCCGTACGGGACTACATCTTTGTTGTAGTTTGTGGATGAAAAAGTATTTATAAATTTTGATTATTAATTTTTAGTAGTTATTTGGGGTTAGATTTGTTAGTAATTTTTTTGAATTTTTTAATGATTGTTTAATTAATAAATTTTAAAAATTACTAAAAAAATTATTTTTTATGAGAAAAAAATTAATGTAATATTTAATTTTTTATTTTTTTGATTGTTTTAATAGTAGGTTTTTTAATTAATGTGTCGGCTAAGATCATTATCAAACAAAAAGATCTCTTTACTCTACTCGTGGGCCGCATGCTAACACACTCCCAAAATGACAAATTTAACCTTGATCTTAACATTTGAGAGTAATAAAAAAAATAGTTGAACCGATAATATTTAAAATGGAAAAAGATTAGGAGCTCGAGAATTTTTGGCTCGAGTGGCCCGAACATTTTCTCTCTCCTCTCCTCCTTTCCTTTCCTCTCTATCTCCTCTCCTCTCTGTCTCTATTCAAACACTCTCTGCACTCTCACCTCTCATCCCTCTCTCTGATTTGGGTTTGATGTTTTAATTTTGATTTGTTTTTTCTTTCTCTGAAACTGTTTTTTTTTTTTGTTTTTTTTTCTTGCTGGGTTTGATGAATCTCTTCTTCTTCTTCAACTTCATGAATCAAACCCACTTTGTCTGTTCCAAAAAAAAAAAAAAACCCATTTGCAGAACTCTATGAACCAAAAAAAAAACCAGGCTGTGAACTCGAGTCAGAACATGAGATGCCATGTCTTCTTCACTACGAAAATCAAGGGATTCTCAGACAAAACTAAACTTGCAATGCATACATATGCATACAATTAATGGATATATATATATGTGGATTATCCAAAGTCTAGTGTGAAGATTAATAAAAAGCAGAGAGGGAGAGAGAAATTGACCATGAAGTCAAACATTCACCTAATTAATAAAGAAGATTAATTTGGAATGTTGAAGTTTACAATTTTCAAAACTCACCAACCCACGCAATATATAAACACACACATATATATACATACATACATATATATAGACTTAAATAAAATCAAATATATGTAAAATAAGTTGAAAATTCTCCAAAATTAAGCATCAAAAATCCCAAACCGAACCCTACCCACAAATCCTATTTCCCATTTCATTCTAGAAATCTTATTATTGCACAAAATCAACAAACACAGAGAGAGAGAGTAACTATCCACGAAGAGAGAGAGAGAGAGCGAAAGAATAACAAGCCTGATGGTGATGGTGATCTTGAGGAAGATGTACCTGTGTGTTGATTTTGGTCGTAAAGATTTCAAACGAAGAATGAGAGAGAGTGAAGCTCTGTGTCTTCTTCTTTCCAAAGACAGAACATCAAACAAGACAGAGAAAGAGAGTAAAAGAAACAAAAAAAAACAAAACAAAAAAGAGGTACCAAAACGACTCGAGCCACTCGAGCCATGCCACTTTCGAGCTACCTAGTAGGGTCGATTTAAAATTTTGTCATTCTCATCATTATAGAATTCCTAACAGAATTCCTAACAAAAACCAAACACTCAGTTAATATTCACATATATATTTTACTAATAGTAATGAGATTCTTCAGCAATGGGATCTCCATTCCCCCTCAAAATTTTTGTCATCCAAACAAACATTTTGTGTCAATAACATTTTGTTTTTGTCTTCTCACATTCCTAGCCATTCTTATAATTAAGTTATATTTAAATCATTAATTTGAGTAGAGATTGAAAAAGAAAAAGAGAAAAGGTGTGATTGAAACATAAACAATTTTTTTTTTCTCTATTTACCTTTTCTTTTCCAAATTTATATCCAAAAAATTTATGACCCAAACACCATGTTATAGAATTTCTAACTAAACCAAATACTCTAATAATATTGAAACATAAATTTTATTAATAGTAATAAGATTTTTCATGTCAATAAAATGAAAGAGAAAATGTGAGTGAAATATAAGCTTTTTTTTTTTTTTTTTTTTCAAATTCCTATCTAAATTCATAATTCAATACAGCGTTACAAAATCCCTAGCAAAATCAAATACTCGAACAATATTGACATTACTTTGAAAATCTTCACGTATAATTTCCATTCTCCGTCAAAATTCCTGCCATCCAAACACGCCCTTTGGTGTCTATATAACATTTTATTTTTTTGCAGACATGGGCCAGTGTTCTCAACAAACTTGGTGGGTAGGCCCATGATAATATCAGCTGACCCACAACTCAACAACTTCATATTCAACCAAGAAGGGAGGGCAGTGGAGCTATGGTATTTGGACAGTTTCCAAAAGCTTTTTAACCTAGAAGGTGAAAACAGGCCCAATGCTGTAGGACACATTCACAAGTATGTGAGAGGTGTCTATTTGAACCTCTTTGGTGTTGAGAGCCTTAGGACTAAGCTTCTTACTGAGATTGAGAAAACTGTTCGAAGCAATCTTCGTGGTTGGTCCTCTAAAGGAACCCTTGATGCCAAACATGCCACTTCTAAAGTAAGCCTTTTTACTCTCTTTTGTGTATCAACAATTTTGTGTATATTTATATGATGGTCATCATCATTTGGCCCGAAAACCCGCGCTTAGGCTGGCTTGATCGGCTTTCACTTGGCTACAACTAGTACTCTTAGGCTTCGTTTGGGAAGCCTTGGTTGGAGTTTTTTTTGACTATTTTAGTCACAAAAAATAAAATAGGTTTTTTAACTTCATAAGACAAAACATCACATTCAACCCATAATCATTACATTATTTCTCTCACAAAAAAATCAAAAAAATCAAAAAAGTCAAAAGCCCTTCACAAACCAAAGTTTCGTTTGGGAAGTGGGTTGTTTTTTGACTTTTTTAGCCTGAGGCTAAAAAGCTTGGTTTGGGAAAGATTTTTGAATTTTTTGGCTTTTTTTACTTTTTTGTGAGAGAATGAATGTAATGATTATGGGTTAGATGTGATATTTTGTCTTATTGAGTTAAAAAAATTATTTTGTTTTTTATGACTATTTTAGCCAAAAAGGCTCTAAACCTCTCTTCCCAAATGGAGCTCAAGTTTTTTAGCCCCAGATTAAAATAGATAGAAAGTCAACTCACTTTCCAAACGGAGATTTTTGTAGACTAGCTCGACCCAAATAAGGCTTAGGTTAGACTTGGAAATAGATTTTGAAGCCCGGCCCGTGAGAAGTGATCCAGTGGCCCGACCCATGAACTTGGCAAGAAAAAGGAAATAATTTTAAAAATTAGAAAAACAAAAAATCAAAAGAGGCTAAGGGGTTATCCTGCATGACAGCTCAACTTGACCTCTGGCTTCCTGGCCTAGCTTGGCCTGATGCAAACCCATAGAGTCAACACATTTATTAGGATTGGTTGTTTGGTATCGTGTTTTCATTTTTAATTTTCGTATTTTTGGAAAACAATATAAGAAAAATAAATAAAATTAGCTTTCTAGTGTTTTTTTAAAAGTGCATTGTTTTTTTATAAATTTAAAAAAAAATCAGAAAATACTTTTCGGAAGTAGCTTGCCAAAACGGGTTTACTTTTCCAAAAATTGTACACAAAACAAAAAATAAAAATGATACCAGACATGTCAAATTTTGTTTGATTACTAAAAAATAAATTTTGTACAAACTATTATCTTTCCATTTCATTTGCCCATTTTAATTTGATATATCCAAGATTCAAATGTAATGTTGTACTAAACATCATCTCTTTTATGTTTGTGCTCCAATAATAGATGGTGGCTGTTTTTGCTGCAAAATACTTGTTTGGATATGATGCTGAAGCTGAAGGTTCATCTGAAGATATTGCAGACACCATTGATGGTTTTGTACAAGGTCTTCTCTCATTTCCATTGAACATCCCTGGTACAAGGTTCCACAAATGCATGAAGGTAACTGAGAAAAAAAAAAAAATTGTCCTAATTTAAATAACAGTATCCGGGATGTTACCCCTATATCGGCCAATATCAGACAATATCAACTGACATATTGGTGAATATTGGTATCGAAACACCAAAATACCTCTACGTTTCAACCAATACTTAAAGCTCCTGTTCTGTATCAATGTTTTGTACTACAATTTTTCTATTTGTATAACTCTACTATTATGAATAATTAAGCTTGATTAATTATTTTGATTTAGGACAAAGACAAGTTGGAAAAGATGATTAATGATAAGTTGAAGGAGAGAATCAGTTCACCAGAGAAAGGTCAAGGGGACTTCCTTGATCAAGCAGTGAAAGACTTGAACACTGACTTCTTCTTGACAGAGACTTTCGTTGTCTCGGTCACCATGGGAGCTTTGTTTGCAACTGTTGAGTCCATTTCTACCTCAGTTGGACTGGCTTTCAAGTTCTTTGCAGAACACCCTTGGGTGGTAGAGGATCTGCAGGTATAAATACCTATTCAAAATCAGTTCTTCCACATGCACAGAATCCGATTACAAAATCAGACACAATTCTTTCATCTGGGCTGAGACTTACACTTTTGGCAGAGCCCACCTCATTGTATTTTACAATAAGTTTTGAGCTTTAATTTAAAGATTGCGCTTTGTACACATTTTTTGAACTGATAAATTACAATCCTGATAATTTTTCAGGCAGAGCATGATGCTCTTCTGAGTAGGAGAGAGAACGAGGATTCTCCTCTCACATGGGATGAATATAAATCGATGACTCGTACTATGCACGTAAGTACTCTATTCTATATAAGATTGTTAGTATATACTTGTTAATTAGAATAGCTTTAGCTTTATAATTATTAATTGTATAGCTTTACTTTATGCTTTCGGTGTAATTGTTAATTGTATAGCTTCACTTTATGCTTTCGGTGGTAGTGGGTTTTTTGGTATCCAATGCCCATATTTCTCTCTATAAAGAGAGACTTCATTCTCTTTGTAAATGATAACAAATATAGAAACATTTCAGAGTCTCTCTCTCGCTCTCTAGCTTCTCTCACTCTCTCAAACTAATCTTTCATGGTATTAGAGCCCAGTATTACATTTCTGGTAATTTTTTAGTCCCGTATACAGTGGCACACTACATCAAACTGTTCGAAATTTTCTCCTGATTCCAACGGCACCAAGCCCGTTCTCAGAAAACCTAACACGCGCCCCCACGCGCCGCCCTTATCCTCTGCACGTCAACACTTGCGCCACCACTCTCACACGCGCCCACACGCGCCATCTGCTGTCACTCACTTCCGCCACGCGCCCACACGACCACGGCTGACGTCAGCCCTGCCACTCCCGTACGCCGCGCCTGCTATCGTGCGCCTTTCGTGCGCCGCTTCACTACATTGCACCCGCGTGCGCCAAAACGGCTATTGTGCGCCGCGCCTGCGCCTGTTTCGCTACCGTGCGCCGCCGCCTTTCTGCTAACGTGCTCCTCCCTGCACTCTGCTAACGTGCGCCGCTGACATCATCGCTGACATCATCTCTGTCCAGCAGCCTTTTCTGGCTATTTTCGACCTTCCGGACTCACTGGTACACTCTGTTTTACCAAATTTTGCTCCTACAGGTCTCTTCCTGCTGCTTTAATCCTACTTAACTAGTATTATGGATCGTCTTGACACCTCCCATCCCATTTCCGTTATTCTGAATGGTTCAAACTATGTTCTGTGGCCCCAAGCCATGTCTTCCTTTCTTAAAGGCAAGAAGCTCTGGCGAATTGTCACCGGGGATGTGACTAAACCAGTCAAAGACAGTGCCACTACTGAAACTCCTGTTCATACTGCTACATATGAAGACCGACTTGAGGAATGGGACAGTAAGAATTACCAAATCATTACCTGGTTTCGTAATACCTCTGTTACCTCTATCAGTCTTCAATTTGGCCGCTTTCAGCTTGACTCTGTAACTACTCCTGAGAAAGACATCTGGGATTTTTTGAAAGAACGATACCAGACTACTGGTCTTGCCCATCAATATCAACTTCAGAACCAACTTCACCGCATGCGCCAAGAATCCACTCAGTCCATTAATGACTTCCTTTCTCAAATATACTCTGTTTGGGATCAGCTTGCTCTTTCAGAACCAACCTGGCATGACCCCGAAGATGCAGTTTTATTTACTAACCATCGCAACCAGCAAAGGTTGGTGCAATTTCTCATGGCTCTTACCCCCTCTTTTGAGCCCGTACGTGCCTCTCTGCTTCATCGCCATCCCTTGCCCACTCTTGAACAAGCCATTTCTGAGTTGCTATCAGAGGAGACTCGTCTAGGTACTCTTCAAACTCATCATGTGGACTCTGTTCTTGCCACTCCTCCGTCCCGGCCATCATTTACCCAGCGGACAACTGCTTGCCTCTATTGTCAGAATCGGGGCCTTCCTTCAACCCATCTCCTGGTCAATTGCCCCGTCAGATCCTGCCGCTACTGCAACAAACTTGGTCCTGGTCATCTGCAACAGGATTGTTTTCGCAATCCATCCCGCTCATCCTCCAATAGCCACTCCTCTCGCGGTGGCTCTTCCCGGGGAAGTTTTCATCGTTCCGGCAACCAGTCTCATCACACTGCTACTTCTGCTTCCGGGAATCAGTCTTATCACACTGCTGCTGCTGCTTCCGGGAATCAGTCTCATCACACTGACACTGCCCCCTCTGCAGGGTTCTCTGAGTCACCTGCTCCATCTACCCCTCACTTTTCTCCAACGGATGTAGAAGCCATGCTCAAACAACTTCTCTCCTCATCTGGTACACCTCCTCCTACTGCTTTGTCTGTAATCCCAGGTAACTCTTCTTGGTATTTTGACTCTGCCTGTTGTAATCATATGACCTCCAGTTCTACTATCTTTTCTTCCTTATCTTCATCTCCTCATATTCCCTCAATACATACTGCTGATGGTTCCCTCATGTCTGTTCGTCATGTTGGTACTGTTTCCACCTCTTCTTTATCTCTACCTCACGTTTATCATATCCCTGCTCTTACCTTAAACCTTATTTCCATTGGTCAATTATGTGAACTTGGTCTAACTGTCACATTTTCTGCTACTGATTGTTTGGTACAGGACCCTCAGACAGGGCAGACTATTGGGATCGGCCGTAAGCATGGACGTCTCTATGAACTAATTCACCTTCATGTTCCTGCCTCTCCTCAAATTGCTGCACCTACATCTCCTTCCTCATTATCTCCCTTTCATCTGTGGCATTGTCGTTTAGGGCATATTTCTGTTAATCGCTTAAGGTCTTTGGTTTCTAGTGGACAGTTGGGTCATGTAATTCCCGATAATTTCGATTGTATACCCTGTCAACTTGCCAAACAACCTGCTTTATCATTTAATAAGAGTACTTCTGTTTCTCTTGCCCCTTTTGATCTTATACATTCGGATATTTGGGGGCCCTCCCCTACTACTACTATGGGGGGATCTCGCCGCTATTTTGTTATTTTTATTGATGATTTTTCCCGGTTTACTTGACTTTTTCTCATGAAAACTCGGTCTGAACTTAAACATCTTTATTATAGTTTTGCCAAAATGGTTCACACCCAATTTTCCAAAACCATCAAAATTTTTCGCTCTGACAATGCTATGGAATACCGGGATTCCGATTTCCTTTCCTTTCTTCAACATCATGGTACACTGCCTCATAGATCTTGTGCTGGCACGTCCCAGCAAAATGGCCGTGCTGAACGGAAACATAGGCACATTCTTGACACTACTCGCGCTCTCCTTCTCTCTTCTTCCTGCCCTGAAAACTTTTGGGGGGAACTATCAGTCTTCAGTTTGGTCGCTTTCAGCTTGACTCTGT